AGTTTATCATATTATTATATTAATAAAATAAGATGTATGATTACAGCAGGAGGTCCGCCATTATTTTAGTGACAAAAGAACGAGGGCAATGATCCTTGAGATCAATTTATCACAGAATTGTCATTTGTGTTAGTTATGCAATAGTAATTTAAATTCATTGTTTTTTTTTTGTATTATAAACGAAGTTGATTTCTTTTTTAATAGTGTACCTAGCTTCTCGTTAGTTTGAATGGATCGAAAGACTAAAGTCTAGACTAGTATGCACCAATTTTAAAATAACTGGCCGCTGTAAAAAAAACTTTACTCGAAAAATAAAAGAATTGAAATAAAGACATTGGAAAGAATAACATTTATTTCTGTAGCATTAAAATATATGTTTTACTGATATCCCATTTCCAATAAATTTTTGTTAATTATACATATGTAGCTACATGGTTTTCCTTGGCATCTAATACTTTATTGGTAGTTATTAATTAAAATAAAAAACGCATATCACGTTAATCTCTACAAAAGATCAATTCACTATAGTCAGAATTTTAATTCGATTCCTGATTTGACATGACCTACTGTCATTTTGTGAAATAATGATACCACATTTAACAGTGTAGTGATGAACACAAAAATCGATAAACAATGAGTGAATCAGTTTCAGGAAGGCATTCAAAAAATTACGGCTACCGAATGGTCTAAATGCGTATCCCATGTTGTCAAAGAAGAGGAAAAAATGAGTAAGCTAGGTATGTTAATTGACAATAAATATCAAAGACACAATTCATAATACATGTCACAGAAAGTAACAGCGGTAGCGATAGCGATGACGGCGACAATTTATAAAATTTTTGTTTTATTTGTCATTTTCCTTCATGATCACATTTTTTATTAATTTCACACACAATTACAAAAGAATATCTCAAATCGTTAATTAATTGTCAAAACTAAATTATCGGTTCAGTAATAATTTATTTCCTGATAAACTGTTTACGAGAGAAAATTTATAAACGAGAGGAATCGATTCACAAATATTCGATTTCCTCATCGAATAATTTCGTAACCACACTATTTATTACGTGTCATAACGTTGCAACACTGAAATTGTCAAATCTGGAATGGAATTAAAATTCCGAGTATAGTATAATTGCACATTTCCAACACGAAACTTTTTTTGCGTGATAGGTAGATACGTTATTTATTTTTCCTTAGGACTAATTTTTAGATATAGATAAAAGTTATATGGGGAATGATTATGATGTTGTCGCGTCAGAATGTTTGTATAAGACAGTGACAGCAACAATTTTATTCCTTAGATAACATTTATCTGACTGTTGAAAAACCAGCCCTTAGTGAAATATGTTTTTATACGAATGTTAGGTTTTAAATGTGGGAGAGACATGCTTCGAATTTTTGTTCTAGGACAATTAAGTAACTGTCTATTTGTGATGGTGAATTGATTACTGTGTGTCTAACCTACCACCTCGTACAGTGCGGCCGACGTATCTTGGCGAGTCTGAAGTTAGCCGTTTGTCTGCGCAATGGATCTTTTAGTCACAAAAATGTGTACTGCGCAGCTAATCGGCTAATTTCAGACTCGCCAAGATACGTCGGCCGCACTGTACCAAGTGTATTTTAATAAAAATCCCCTCATTCTTACAACTTTTTATTTCTTTTAAGCAAGGCTAAGTACCTTAATAATAAAGGACATGTAGAAAAATACAATAAAAAGTATACAAAGCGATAATATTCAATATAAAATATAATTACTTAGGTACATACTAAAATAGTAATATTATTGCAGTAACGTATTTTAAACTGCAATTTTTACCTTATTAACACCAGAATGTTGCAGTGCATATAGGTACTCCAGTGTACCTATATGGTATCCCTTTAAAAAAAGGCGACGACGCACGTCGACAGTTTTACATAAAATTGTCTTTTGAATACCCGGATATTATGTGCCTAGGTAGTTTCTCAAACTTTATAGGGATACGTTTTAAAGCTTTTTATGTTGTATATCAATTTGACGTTCAAAAGTGCCTGTAAGGGTCTAATTGGAATAAATGATTTTTGACTTTTTTTTTGAATACTCAATAAGAGAGAGTTATGTACGTTTAGTTTATGAAATTTTATGGTTAATTGCCGTGATGATTGTATTTGTAACGTTTTAAAAAACCGTGTTGAATTTTAATACGGTATTTTATAATTTTTATTTTCATATATTATTTATTATTAATAGGTGCGGATGTAGGGTGAACAGATTTAGGTAAAAGATTGCAGTAGGTACTTATTTGTTTACCCCGTTTTACCGTAACTAATATATATTTAAAAATATTCAAAGCGCAAAAAATTATTATTTATAATTTAAGATTTTGATAATAGTTTCGCAGAAGTGCCAAGAATCGAGTGACTAATAGAAATATCTTATTTATGTACAATATGTACATAATAATATGTAAATTACGATAATCAATATACCTACTTATCTACTTAATAATGATTTATTGAATGATTATTTGATAATGTGCGTATAATTGAAATATAATACATATTATTTTATACGATAACTAGTAAATTTAGTGTTTCAAAAACACTATAGCGAAAGATTTTTATTAAAAAGAAACAAAAGTGTCCTTTTGTTTCAATGCTATTACTGCAGCCCAGCCACTTCATTAACCTATAAGTTAGCGAGTCAAAGTATCTAAACAGTGAGAGAAATGCAAAAGGTAACTTAAAAAAAAACACAGGCTTTATCCATTTAGGTACTTTCCCTTTCAAAAATATTGGAATTCATTTTAAGCAACCCAACGATACACATTATCGCGGGTCTGCGGACGGCGAGTAAGGGCAACTCGCCGCTAGATTAGAACCAGACCCGAGCGTACGGCGCGTAGCGTTCCGCGCGCGACTCAAATAGCCAATAGACCACCGCAGTCGGGGCTCTATAGGGCATCAGCCTTTCTGCTGAACATCAGTTCAGCCGCGGTTGCGGGATAAGCGCAATGAGACACCGCGACTTCGGCCCAGAGCAGGAGAAGGAACAAGGGGGTTTTTAGTCAGTAAGAGTGTCAGACTCTCTCGTCTGGCCCTGGGTGGGAGAAGTCATTTGATCATTTTGCCCTCACAAAAAAACCATACCTACATATTGTGACGGTTAATTATTTTTTCTAGAAAGATATAAGATAGTTAAGAACCACTGTCCCTCGGCACCATCACAGGACGATAACTCCTTCCTCCTCGAAGCGATGAGTCACATTGATGGCTGATGTCTGATTTATAATACAAAAACAAGATAATGTTAATTATAAATTATGACATCAAGTTTTTATTTTCAGACGCGGAACACTGCGTAAGGGAATTTTTGTAGTTATATTAATTGCTTGCTATCCAAAAATAAAAAGAGAAATTTGCAATTTTTACACCCTGTTGTGACTGGCTGCCTTTTTGTTTCGAATTAAAATTACTGAGCTTATTAAATCGATTTAATGTTTTCCTCTTCGTAGAGTAAGTAAAAGTATACTTACATTAATCAATTAAGTTTTTGCTAGTTTACGATTTATTATCTTTTCTTGATTCGCGGGTGTAAATTGTTTGTAATTTTGGTTATAATATTCCAAAAATATTAAATGACGAAAACTTTTTTTATTTTTTTTGCTATTTAATCAAGGAGTACACCAACTATCTCTCAAAGTACATTAGATGATTAAAAATTTGGATATTTATATGTACAAATATGCAAATTTTTAATCAGCTACAATTAATACATTTTGGCAAGGACACTTCGCCCAATATTGTTTGTGACTGAAGTTAAAAGGCAAAATATATAACAAATAATAGGTACCAATAAATATACAATCATACGTATATAGAATCCAACTGAGAATTACTAAAACAAACTATCCATTGATAGAAGCGAGTAGATAAAAATAGAATATACATTTGTAACACTACTTCTGCATATAGACTGAATTAACATGAAAAGCGGGTTTTCAGAAAACCTTGCTTTTTGTTATTACCTAAATATGCGTTGCACGTGTTAAATGTGTGTGTGTCTTTATGTAGCTTGATTACTGTATTTTTTATGGTTTACGGTAGCAAACTTTCTGACGTACTACTTGATGGTAAGTATGCATACAACTAAAACTCTTCATTTTGTAACTCTCGGAAGAGTTGCAAAGGTTTTGGAGTTTTAAGGTATTTGGTAGGTAGGGGTGAGGTTAGGGCGAGGATTGGGTCTTTGTAACCTCATTCACGAGGCGAAATACAACGCAGTGGTTGTTTTCGGTGAGGCTGTGGTATGACTTCGGAAAAGTTTAGATATCCAGCAGAAAATGGCTAAGGGCCGATGGTGAAAATTATGATTTAAATAGTAGTCGATTTATAGTTTATTTGTAGCAAACTAGTTATAATAAACTTGTGGTAATAGTTTATTACAATGAATAGTTTAGTTATAGAAAACAATTAATGCATTTCAAGACTGATCTGTAATTACCGCGAAAAATTGGCTCGCTTGAGCCATTTGATTTGATTTGGGCTTCCATTTTATGAAATTATTAAACATTTTCTGGTATTTTATCTTAGGATACTAAATGAGTCACTCTAACTCTATCAACCTAATTATACGATTACCTTTCGATATCTTAATTCCGAGTACAGCAAAGCAGCTTTTTACTCAAGCGAAAATAATCACTGAGATTTATGATATCCCATAAGCGTTTTAGAAGATATCTCCGTGACATATATAAATGCGGTTTCTTTGAGACGGGCCAATGATCCACAGCACTTATTTTGAATATTTCTTAAACATAACTAGACAAATAGTATTTTAGTAATCCAACAAAAAATATCAAACGTAGTCGCCTTGCTAAGCTAGTTTAAATGGCGCGTCATACATCGCTGCCTTCAAAACAAACAAATACATTTTTCATATAAAAACGTCGATGTAAGTGAAACGAAGGTCAAATGTCGCGAAGATGAGTCTTGGAACGAGTTCGGCGGGGTGGGGGGCGGGGGTATGACGTCAGAGGAGGCTGCGACGGTATATAGGAGATGCGCCGACGCATCTGACGGTTGTATATTAGTATATTTGAATAGTGTGAGCGCCAAGTTTATTGTGGACGTTGAACGAAAGAAAATGCTACGCTTTACGATATTAGCTGCAGTGGTAAGTTTATCTATATTTTTCGTACATTACACGCCATTTTTTGTTGATAAGTATAAAAGAATATGAAGTGAATTTTTTCCGGAAAATCGATAACTAATCATGATTTGCAATTTTATTTGAAGGTTACATACATCTTTTTAAAAAATGTTATTTTCTTTTATCGAAAAAATTCAACAGAATACATATTGAAATCGTGCTGAGTAACATACGCGAGACAATTTATTGTTAAAAGTTTCGTTAAACTTGAAGAATATCGTAGGTACATTGTAGAATTTCCTCACTATTTCAATATAGAGTAGAACTTCGGTCCTCTAATAAATAACCTACAGCTCTAATGCTAGTATATAGATACTGTGTATACAAAAGTGTTATAATGTAAAATACTAGCGAACCGCCCCGACTTCGCACTTATACTGACTTATACGGAATACTGATACTGAATTAATTTACTATTTAAGGGATATATTATTATAATTATAACAATCCTTCTTCTTCAATTACTTTAAATATTAAAAAGCAGTTACGTTGTTTTAAACATATAAGCATACATAGGGTTTTAGGGACAGTGAAAGCGACTTAGTTTAATACTATGTAGTGATTGTTCAATTTGAAGTATTTGACATATTTCAGAGCATGTAGAGCTTCAATGCTAACAGTATACATATATGTAGATACCTACTGTATATACATAATGTTGTATATATACATTAGTATTATATATATCTTATGTTCAAACGTGGGCGAATCAGCCGCCGCGCCGTCTGTAGATTACAACAATAAGCTACATTTCTCTGATTATAATAAGACAATACAGTATCATAAAAATTACATTGACGTTATTCTAAATAATAAATACAATGTGTACTTTTAAGTTATTTATGTTCTAAAGTACATATATCAATGAATGTGTTAGCCACGTGTGTATAAACGTGACACTGATTAGTTATAATCAATAAATAAATTGATTTTGATGATCGTCAATAGAGTTTTTGTTGATAATGGTGATTAAGTATTATAATTATGTGTGTTTTTCTCACATATTATTATGATATTGGTACCTAGGTACTTTATTTTCATTAGGAATAAAGTGCTAAGTTATATTTCACTTGATATTGTGACACATAGATACATATAGACATTTTTATGTAATAAATTGATATTTGTTAGATACTAAAAAATAAGTCTGAACAAATTTTGTGTATTAATGATAAAAAATATTTAAATGTTTTTAGTAAAATTATTATATTATAACAATTGTTTGGTACATTTGATTTTGTCATCGATATTTTCTTTAAAAAAAAAGCTATCAACACTTTTGCATGCAATAAGTCGATAAAAATTACTAGTGCGTTGCCGACATTTTGGAGGTTGTTAGGTTAGATTAGGGATAAGTGGATTTGTAAAAGTATAAATTGATAGGTAATTCGTTGACACAAGATTAGCATTTTATGTTTTCTTAGAATCATTTATTTTAACACGTGTATTTCGGGTGATATACGAACTCCTTTTTTTCTTTAAAGGTTTTAATTTCAAATTATTAATACCGGTATTTTAATGTTAATTCAATGTCACGGACGAAATTATTAGCAATGTGGTTGCTTCGTGTCGATAGTAAAAAAAAATAGTGTGAATTTCTAGAAACTTTTGCCAATAAAACCTTGAGTTCTTTTATTTGAATATGGAATAGGATCCTTTGGTTTAAAATAAATAAAAAATAATAGCTTACCTATTTGAATGGCGGTGGTGTGTGTGAACACTATTAATTTTTAAGAGCGAATAATTTAATTTTTGTGGAACGTTATTTTGCTAGTTTTTGAATAGTGAGACTTTTCGACGGCACGTAATGATGCAGTTTGTCTCGAAGCAAGAGGATTGGGTTGACTTTTACTCAGTAAAAAAATATGTGTGTGTGTGTTTGTGTGTGAGTGCGAGCGTGCATGCATGCGTGCGAGTGTGTATGCGTGTCTAAGCCAAAAGGGCTAATTCTTTTCCCTCATATTCAACCCCAAATCTCACACGAAGTGAATTACTTAACATCACGAGATGACGTCTCAACAATTGACAACCTAATTGACAACCTCGTGGAAAAAAAAGAATCGGACACTTCCACTTGCGTTATCCAGGTCTGGAGAAGAAATAAATGATTTACCCAATAAAAATGTAATTATTTAATAAAGTAAAGTAGATGCCAAGCTACTACTGGTTACATACTAGTGACTATCTATTAATGTTGTAACATATTATAGAATAAACATATTTCAGTATAAATAACTTTAATATAAAGTGATATCGGCGTGCGGAAACCAATTTTGTATGGCGGATGCGTGCACGCACGCTTTAGGGCAGAAACATTTCTCCCGACGTTATGTTATTATGTATTGTTATCGAGACAATTTATTGGAGAGATAGGAGATTTATACAGATAAATGTTTAATGCATATTCCTAGTATTATTTTTTTAACTTTGTTTGTTACTTTACACAGATTGTACCTAAACAATTTTCAACACGAATCTAAAACATGATATAGGTATTTCGGAACGCTTAGCTCACAACACCGGCACGTTTCCAGTGCCTTTTCACAGGATTTATTGAAATATATCCTTTGATTTTGACTTTGCACTAAAAATATTGATAGGCGCGTATTGTATAAAATCTCATTTCTTATACCAAAACTCTAATAGCGCAAGTCTTACAATTAAAAAACTTACCTAGCTTACTCTTTGGTTAACTTTGCGCTAGTAATTTATCCAACTAATTTATGGTCACTTAAATTCGTATTTGCTATTCAATTACTTATTTATTTCGCATGACATCTAAGCACGCAATAATTCTCATTAATTTTATTTTCAGTCTCATTAAGTACGTATTTTAATTCAAACAAATGTAGGCACTGAAGTAACTTTACTGTCGATTATTGTATAAGACTATCAGATTCTCAAGTAAATCAGTCAGATATACTATCTTATTTGTTAATTATTAATTAGTATTCGTGTTTATAAACATTGTTACAACGATCAGTAACCCCAATGAAGCTTGTCAAGGCGACATTACCAATTAGTTTTACCTTTATAGGTAAACAAATTGTAGTAATGAAACAATGTTTGTATTTATTCTGGAAACGTATAATGATTATCATCACCATCATCCGTTCATCACCCACTACAAAGGAAAGTCGTTTTCTCACATAGCAAAGGTTTCAGCATTTATCACCAAGCTTGCTTAAGGCGGATTGGCGATTTACACAAAGGTTTACAGGTCTTGTCGAAGAACTGGATTCTTCTACAACGATATCCTTAAAATAATACTAATATCAACATACCTACTTGCTATTTGAGGCACCGCGGCCTCCGCCCAGAGCAGTAGAAGGAACGGAGTGTTTTAGTTAGTAAGAGTCTGTCACTCCCTCCCAGAAGTCATTTAATGATTTTCCCCTCACAAAAAATGACATACCTGCTATTGTATCTCCGATAGAATACTGTTACAATTAATTTCACTATGTTTCACAATAATTTTGTACAGGATTCTGTCATTTTTGTTTGAAAACTTCTGACGCTGACAAGACGACTGAATTAGAAATTGACAATTTAATGCTTAAAATAATGTCGTATTTAATAGACAATTAAGTTAAGTAAAGAGGAAATGAAACTAAGGATTCATTCGAAGAAGCGAAAGGTCTGAGTTTGATTTTGGAATTTATTTGAAAGAAGGTAGGATTCAAATTGGAATAACCATAATATTTGCGCTTCCGTAGAAAACTATTTTTTTCTCTCTCTATTTTTTATTTATGACCGTGTTCTGCATAATACAGACGAAGCTACAGAAGTATATGTTTAAAACGTAAATATCTAAATCTGCACTACGACCTTGTTATGACCAAATAGGTAATATCTGTATGTGTCACAAATTCATTAGCAAGAAATCGCACTCAAACAGGTCCACACTTTTCTGAGAAACGCGCAGACTGTCAAACAATATTATCATACATTACTTCCGCTCCTTGAAATAAATAGGCAAGTTAAATTATTATTAATAATAATAAAAAAAGAAACAAATGTTAAAAATACATGTATAACTAGCTTTTGCCCGCGACTCCGTTCGCGTGGAATGGTGTCTTCCTGCAGACATTTACTTTCGCATTTAATTTATAATATAAGTATAGATAGTATAGATTAGTATAGATAGAATAAGCTATATAAACCTACTTAAAATTGTAAACATATATGTACAAATACTAGTCCTCCTCATAAAAAATAAATAAATAAATAAATGTTGTTATGCCCGACAGGGCCCACAATGCTCTTAAACTAATATATGTAAATTCTTATGTACCCTACCACCTAAGTTCACATTGTGGAATGCAATAAATATATTGAATTGAATTGAATTGAATTGAATTAAATATTGGACCACGTTTCTTTATGTACAAGTTAAGAGCGTCTCATCTACTTCACATTTCATTATGTTCCTTACAAAACATGTTTATATTTTTATTTTTATTTTAAATGCGACTTTGTTTGAAGGTGACGCGTTAACGAGCTTGTAACCAGTTGCAGTACTGGGTTGATTTACTAGTTTAGCATGTACTATGTCGCATTTATTTTTTGAGTGTACATTGCAGTGCTATTAGCATACGATTTACAACTTTCAGTATACATATGTCCAATACAATGTAATCTCACTTTTGTATTCATAGGTTACTTTGTGTATATTGGTTTTTTTAAAAATATATGTGTTTATAGGATATGAACATAGATCGAACTTCATTTAGAAACTTAGCTTAATTTCCGTGTACCGTATTTTGTTGGGTGTGTGCTGTTCATGTCTTTTATCACGCACAATATGTTAAATTATCAAAACAAAACCATTATCGTATAAAAAAAAACAAAAAAATAATAGTCAACACCACAAACAAAACAGACATTAATCAATAAGTATTGTATATCCGTGAAACTTAATCTTTTGGCAAAAAATATTATTGAAATACAATTTTATTGATATT